TGTATTGTTAATCTTGTTGATATTGATTTTATTGATATAATTTTTTTTATTTTTACATACATTTTATATATGTAGATATATTTTGTGTCATTTTACTATATATATTCTTTATATGTGTATATCTTAAATTTTAGAATAAATGGTAATTTTTTCTACTTAAAAAAAAAAAAAACACATTTTTAATGAAAATAATATTCCATAAAAGCATTAGATTTTATTTACACTAGTCTAATACAAGCCTAAATCTTTCTCCTAGTAAATCTTATGTAATTTCATTTACCCACTACAACATATTTCCTTATGTTGCATTTACGCGTTCAAGTTCAAGTGCCTTGCCTAGTTCGTATAATCTTAAATTATTTAATTTTCAGAGGCGAATCAAAACTAATTGTCTCACATCATTGCGCTTGACATTGTGCAAACCACAAAAGATAAAAGATATAGCGTAACAGAATGGAATGAACTGAGCTTCTGCTGCTCCGATGCTCCGATGCGTCATTCAATCCGATTCAGCAGCAGCAGAACGGAAATGAGTTCTGTTCGACTGCCCACATTGAAGACTAATTGTTCGAGTTAATTGACAACCATGCAATAATCTCGCTGACATTTGACCCAAGCCAATTGAGTTTTGGATTTGTGTGAAACATCTTTGTGGGTTTTAGGTTTACTGTGATTATTATAATACGATGTTTTCATTGAATTATCCGGAAGAAATTTGTTAAGAAAAGAATAATATTTAAATTATATAATATTTACAGATAAAAGCTAGATTTTGAATGTTATTAAACTTAAGTTACAATCCTGATATGTTACAATTATTTTTTAAGGCAATCGTATTTTTTAATAATTGTATTTTTCTTAATCTACAGTCGAGAAATAATTGAATTCCCTTCAATCCAAAAAAGTGAAGAAGGCATTCACAAAATGGTTATTCATCAATTTTAATTGGATGCCTATAAACTTTATATATAATTTTACAAACAACTCCATTCACATTTGCATAGCGTTAAGATATGCCATTTACAGACAGATGACAGTTACAGGGTATAAATGAACAAAAAATCCAAATTAATGGGTGGCAACTAAAAACGTTTTGGCCATTTAAGCTTGTTGCACGGCTCAGATTTGTTATTATTATTATTATTTTTTTAAATGCAATGTTTGTGCGTATTTTGCTTGATGTTTTTTTTTTTTTTTTTTTTTTTTTTTTTTTTTTTTTTTTTTTTTGTTTTTTTTTTTTAGTTTTAGTTTTTTATGACGTGTCTAGCGAAAATGTCGTACAGTTTATGCAATAAAACTGGCCATTTATCATTGAGGGGACATGGGTAAATATTGTAAATCGACATTGTTCAACGATTCAGCTGGTTGCAAATGTTACGCATACGCCCCAATGGCCCCAGGCTGGCTGTCACTGGTATCCACGATCGGCCGGCTGCCTAGCTGGCCGGTTGGCTGGTTCTCTATAAGCCTCAAGCCTAGAAGTCCAAACCTGACGCCGTGCTTAAGTTTATGATGTGATTTGACTTTTTATTGCCTCGGCTTAAGCTTCAACTTAACCTCCTAATCTGTTGCAAACATTATGTTTTGAATTTAACGCTGTTGCTGGCTCGGCCCGGCTCGGCTTGGCTTGGTCCGCCAATCAACTCCAAGTGCGGCGATGGCGTCGCTCGCAATCGACTACTCATTTGGCGTGTGCGTGCAACGCAGCGCGGGTCGCATTTTTCACGCTTTGTCAAGCGCTTTTTGGGTGCAGGAGGAGTCGCCAACTGTCGTCTAATGTTGCAAATTAATGTCAAGATTTGCATATGGAATCGTATATCGGCTGGCCATGTCAGCGCCTCGGCTACCACTTGTGGCATAAGCATACGCCGAATTTGGCCATCTACTGCCTAACAGTTGCGGCAAAATTTGGCCAAATTATGTGCGTGCCAGCAAATGAATCACAAGTGAATCATTGCATTTGCTTAGCTGCATGTAGTATCAGATATACATGTGTTAAAAACAACTACTTTAATAGATCGATTTTGTATTGGGATGAGCGTGTCGAAATGGAATTTCCTAGTTCTTCGGTCTAAGATATGGATGCCTGTATTTATAGAGGTATGCGGAAATGTAAAGTATGGCAGCAGGGATAGGAAAATAAATACTTATTTAAAAATTTATTAACTTATTGATTGCAATCAATGCATGAATTTAAATTTTTATATATTTTAACTTATTGTGAGAAAAAAATATTATATAGAAACTTTCGTTTGGCACTGGAAATTTTAAAATTTTGTTTAAAAAAAAAATTGTATACATTACTTTTTTTTTAATTAAAAAAATAAAAATAATAATTAAAAAAAATTTTTGAATTTTTTTGCATTTTGATTTTTTGTTTATAACACGGTTTGTGAAAAAAAAAAGCCTCAAACTTTATAAAAGCTTTAGCTGCTTTCGATTTAGTCAAGTTTCACACCATAATTAGGGTGACCAAATATGAAAAATAAAATTTAGTTGATGCTGCTGCTAAAAAAACAAGCAGATTTAATGTTGAATCATATATATGACATTTAAGTTGCATTACTAAAAAAAAAAATGTACAGGATTTGTATAAAATATGGCCTTTGTTCTTTAATTAAGTATTTATAATGCATTTATACTCATATAAAATCATGTGAAACAAATTGAATTGAAGAACTAAAACAATCTTGGTTAAACTTTTGTCCATTTCAGGGTTTATTTCAGTTGTCAGGCTCGGCAGCTTTTCCATCAGCAGCAGCATGGGGCATCCCCCGAGAACGTCATCATTGCTGAGACACAGGCGTCGCTGCCGCTGCCGCTGCCGCTGCTGCTGCCTCTGCCGGCGCTGACGCATACGTACACTGGGGCAGTGTGTGGTAGCATAGCCTGCGGCTCGCTGGGCCGCACACAGTTGGTATTCGGACGAGCAAGCGTTTGCATCGCGCACAGTTTGAACTACAGTCAGAGAGTCACATAAAAGAGCTCCTGTCTGGCATTGAGAAGCCACACAAAGGATAAACACACAAGGAATTCGATAGTCCTCGCTACGTCTTGTTCACCGGAAAGCCGGCGCCATTGTGTCGCCAAACCGTCTACGTGCCTTGTAGAGAGATTTTTAGCTAGCATTCCAGCGCCCAGAAATCTAATACCAAACCGCAACTATGTCAGCGCCCATTAAGCTAATAATTGCTGGCTTCTGCCTGCTGGCCACCGCCTACAATATCCGAGGTGAGTTCCGATTTTTTTTTTCGCCGATCTGCGTTCTCCATTCTCCATGCGTCGCTGCCTGATCGGCACGAGCTGCACGTGGCTTCTCTTTGAGTGCATTCATAAACACATTCGAATACAAAAATTTGCTGTTCAGTTTCGTGTGCGAGTGCCAATTGGGCCTGCCCACGTGTAATTACATCTGTTTTTTTTAGGTCGTCGCGCTGTTCCTAAATCATCCGCCTCGCATCTCAGGTGTGCTTTTTTTTTGATTACATCTATGAAATGAATGAAAAGTTTCACTTGTTTCATTCCCGAGTTTTTTTTTGCACATTTGCTTTTTGTTGTTTTGCTGATTCTGTGGCCAACTTTTATGAGTTTTTTGCGGTGTTTATAAAAATGCTACCATGCTTAAAAATAGCCATAAAAAAAAGTAAAAAAATTAAAAACAAAAGAAATTAATTCAATGTTAAGAGAATGAACAATTGATTTTCATAGCTCAACTAAAAGCACTTTGCAGACTTATTATAGATTAAGTTCTCTTTTTTTTTTTTTTTTTTTTTGTAATTTTTATTTTAACAAAATACATATATAAATTAACAACAGCAGATTTTACCAAAAAATATAAAAAATTTTTAAGAGAACGCTTTAGTGTAAAAATGGCTCACGGAAAAATAAAATTTATTAGAAATGTTTTCACACCTGGGCGTACAGCCTTTATGCAAATATCAGGTTGATTAGGCCAAAATGTATTTTTGTCATAAACAAATTGCTTTTTGGAATATTTATATACATATATTGGTAGATTGAAGAGCTGTTTATAACACATTATTTTCAACATCTGCCAAGACTTAAGATTTATTAATTTTCATAAATTGAAAATTTCGGAAATTTATTTCTACAAACTTGTGTCTATGACAAAGCAAGTAAATATTGTAAAACAGAGCAAAATGATAAGAGAGAGAGAGCGAGAGAATGAGCTACGTTTGTTGCTTGATTTTTGGAATTTTAAATATTTTAAGATTTTGATTGATGCAATGAATTTTTGCTTTAGTGTAATGAAATCTTCAAGAAAACTTTTCAAAAATACTTTAATAATTGTTAGAGAATTTGAATGAGTCATTAACCTATTACAGCTATTTTATCTGCGGCATTTTTGACACCATATAAAATCTAAGAGTCCAGCTATTCATTAGGGCTTGGTCAATTTACACGATTTTTCCTGGGATTCTTTTGCTGGCACGCAAACACCTTTTGTGGGTCAATGCACAGCAAAGTTGTGCACTTTTCCTACATATACACATACAGATGGATACATATGCATACATACGTATATTTACTTCACTAAAGCCCGTAGATGTGCAGCAATTTGGCGGCATTTTTGCGATTTTCACGCTGTTCGATGATTGGCATGGAATGGAAATTTGAATGCATTTTGTGTATTTTGAAAATGCTTTGCTGTTTATTTCATTTGAAATATTTGCCTGGCTATTTGTTTTGTTTCATTCACAGGCGAATATACAGTATGTAAATTGCATTTGCAGTCAGTCGCTCATAAAAATCATTGATTAACGCCGAACGGAGCCTGATTAAATTTCGCACTAATGTGCAAGTGAATTGCGCTAATTATAATTACTTTTAATTGAGGCATATTGAATATTCATTGAGAGCCTGCTTCATGTGGCTTTTCCCGTTTTGTTCTCTCCTCTCCTTGTGTGTATCCTGCAATTATCTAATTGGCTTGCATTCAATCTGTGCCCCACTGCGCAACGGCGCATCGAGCATTGCGCATGTCAAACTGGCGCCAGAACGTCGTCTGCTCCAGTTTCCAGCAGCGCCGAAAACTGTCCTCAACTGTACTCTCATAGCCAGCAGAGATTTCTAGTCCACCCCACAGACTCCTAGTTGGAAACTATGTCACAGACCTCATCTGTGTATGTGTGTGTGTGTGTGTTGGTTCGAATGCCTTGGCATGAATTGCGTAATTTGTAGATAACTGATAATGAGCAGGCGTTGTTCGGCTTGTTTTCGCACGAAATGAGCTTGTGGCAAACAGGATGCGCAGAGATTGAGCACGCTTCACAGGATACCAGGATGCCTCCAACCCCTCAACTGCCACTCACTGTGCCTCAGTGTTACTTAATTGCAGACGACAACAAACTTCCGATGCGTATCAAATTATGGCATGTTGTTGTTGTTGTTTTTCCATATTACTGTCGACAGCTTATTTATTATTTGAGTGCTTCGAAGGGCATTTGGGGTACATTGTTGCAATTTCTTGAATTAAGGGTTGAAATCCAGTTTCAAAATTTGCATAAGCAGGAAGCGACTTCCTGTGCGCATAGATCAAAGATATTGTTTACTTAAGATAATGTTCAAGTAGATGCCTTCTATATAAAAATATCTCTTGCTGATGTATATAGAATAAGGAAATTATATTATAAATGTTATCTATTGCTCAGGTTGATGAGATATTACATGGAAGTGCATGGAAGAATTGAAAGTGCTCTTAGAATCTTTATACTCTTCTGTAACTATGTAAAAAATTGCTTGATTATTAAGAGGTTAAGCTCTCACCTGATCACCTGCTTAACATAATCCAAGCCCTGTACTTAATATGATCGTAATCTTGTGCCAAAAATAACTTTATACGTAATTACTTATACAGTTTGGCGCACTTACAGGGTATAGAAACTGTTAGCAATAATGGCCTATGCGTGTGTCCGATAAGAAAGCCAACACGCGACCTTGACTTAGCTTCACTACATATATATAAATAGTCCATATAGTATATACGGCAAGGAAATACAATCAATTACTCAGACGAAAAGGCAGCACTAGCTGGCTCGTTTAATAGAAAGTTTCTCAGACCAGGGCGTTGGCAAATTACCCGCAATTTCACGTCAGTCTACAGGAAGTCTGTAAACTAGAAACGGCGAGGTTAAGAAATGCAGCCAGTTTGAACAACTCAAATAACTTTAGAGAGAGACGGCTCAATGTTCTCTTGAGCGCTGACAGCTGAAGGACTTTCAGGTGCCATTTAAATCCATAATAATGTAATACAATATACTCACAATTTTCAAAATGAAATGCAAATATTTGACACCTTCTGGCACGACGATAACTTGAGTGTTGGACAGGCGATAGCTGCCGTGAGGCGAGTCAAGGTCGCTACTTTGCCAGCAACGGCAACATCATTGCATGTCAGCCCAAGATTTACGGCTAGTTGATTTTCAGAAAAGGTAAAACCGAAACATGTACACAACAGTCCTTACATCTGCCCGCCTGAGCCCTTTCCGCTTCTCAAGTCGAGTGGACATGCAAAAGCCTTGAGGTCTTCAGGTCTTGAACGAAACCATCTTGATCCTCAGCGCTGTCCGAGTCCATGGCTAATCACGCATATCTAATTAGGCCATTTGGCTTTGCATGTTTGCTTTGAGCAGCACGTCAATTTCTGGCCCAAGCCCTCCCCCGAAGATGGGCAATCCAATTAAATATTAATTTAATGCGAATCTGCTCTAAAAATAAGCCAACTCAAGTTTTCGTGCCAATATTTCCGCTGTCAATGTTTACCAAAAAATTGAATTTAATTTTAAAACAAATTTGATCGACAAAGATAAATAAACAAAGCGCTTGATAAAACAACAACGAAATAATCACAATCAGCTAGCCAAATCAATCAGCGAGTGCGAAAAAAGTGCCGAGAGAACTGTGAGCAACATTATTGAGTAGTTCCCACGAAAAACTACACTTGAGTGGAAGAAAATATTT